ATTCTTCCAATCCACGAGCATGGGAGGTCCTTCCATCTTCTGATGTCTTCCTCAATCTCTTTCTTTAAAGATTTAAAATTTTCATTATAGACGTCTTTGATGTCTTTGGTCAGGTTTATTCCAAGATATTTTTTTGTTGTTGTTGCTATTGTGAAAGGGAGTGTTTCCATGTATTCTTTCTTTCTTTGCTTGCTATTGGTATATAGAAAGGCTACAGACTTTTGTAGATTAATTTTGTAACCTGCCACTTTACTGAAAGTGTTAATCATTTCTAGGAATTTTCTGGTGGAATTTTTGTGATCTCTTAGATACGATAACATATCGTCTGCAAAAAGGGATAATTTGATCTCTTCTTTTCCAATTATTGCTCCTTTGATTTCCTTCTCTTGTCTTATTGCTCTTGCAAGAGTTTCAAGCACTATGTTAAAGAGAAGTGGGGATAGTGGACAGCCTTGTCTGGTTCCTAGTTTTAATAGGAATGCTTCCAGTTTTTCTCCATTTAGAATGATGGTGGCTGTGGGTTTGTTATACATGGCTTTAATTATGTTGAGGTATGTTCCCTCTAGTCCAATTCCCTCTAGGACTTTGAACATAAATGCATGTTGAATTTTGTCAAAGGCCTCTGCATCTATTGGGATAACAATATGGTTCTTGTCTTTGAATCCACTTATATGATTTATGACGTTTATTGACTTACGTATACTGAACCATCCCTGCATCTTTGGAATAAAGCCTACTTGATCATAATGGATGATCTTTTTGATGTGTATCTGTATGTGGATTTCAAGTATTTTGTTGAGAATTTTTGCATCTATGTTCATTAAGGATATGGGTCTATAGTTTTCTTTTTTGGTTGTATCTTTACCTGGTTTTGATGTTAGAGTGATGCTGGTTTCATAGAAGGAATTTGGAAATTTTCCTTTCATTTCTATCTTTTTGAATAAATTAAGTAGTATTAGATATAAATCTTCTTTAAATGTCTGGTAGAATTCTGCTGTAAATTCATCTGGTCCTGGGATTTTTTTAGTCAGGAGGTTTTGTATCACTGTTTCAATTTCCTACGTGTTATGGGTCTGTTTAAGCTGGTTAGTTTTGGTGGTTCCCATGCTTTTAGACACCTGCCCATTTCTTTTAGGTTTTCAAATTTAGTAGCATATAGGTTTTTTAAAATATTCCTTATAATGTTTTAGATCTTTTTGGTGTCTATTGTGATGTTTCCCCTTTCATCTCTGATTTTACTGATTTGGAGGTGTTCTTTCTTTCTTTAGATTAACTGGGCTAGCGGTCTGTCAATCTTGTTTATCTTTTCAAAGAACCAGCTCTTGGATTCGTTGATTCTTTGTATTGTTTTCTCTGTTTCTATTTCATTAATTTTTACTCTGATTTTTGTTATTTCTTCTTGTTTTCTGGGGTTGGGTTTCATTTGTTGTTGCTTTTCAAGTGTCTTGAGTTGCAATGTTAAGTCATTTATTTGTGTTCTTTCTGATTTTTTTTTTAATGAAGGCACTTAGAGCTATAAACTTCTCTCTAAGGACTGTTTTCAACATGTCCCAGAAGTTTTGTTGTGTTGTATAGTCCTTTCACTTAGTTCCATGAATACTTTTATTTCTTTCTTTTTTTCTCCTTTGACCCATTCATCATGAGGAGTGTGTTGTTTAATCTCCATGTGTTCATGTAGTTACTAGGGTTTCTATTTGTGTTGATTTTAAGCTTTATTTCATTGTGTTCAGATAGAATGCATGGAATTATTTCAATCTTTTTGTATTTGTTGAGGTTTATTTTGTGCCCCAGTATATGTTCAATTTTGGAGAAAGTTCCATGGGGCAGTAAATAGAAAGTATATTCTTTGGTGCTTGGTTGGAATATTCAGTAGATGTCTGTTAGGTCCATTTGATGGTATTATTTAATTCAGTTGTCTCTCTGTTAATTCTCTGTCCTGTTAACCTATCTAATGGAGACAATGGGGTGTTGAAGTCCCCTACTATTAGTGAGTTGGGATTAAGCTGAGTTTTAAAGTCCTGTAGTACTGTTTTAATGAAGTTGGGTGCACCAGAGTTTGGTGAATATATGATCATGATTGTAATATCTTCTTGGTCAATTGTTCCTTTGATCAGAATGAAGTCACCCTCTTTATGTCTTCTGATTAGTTCTAGTTTGAAGTCTGTTTTGTCAGATATTAGAATTGCAGCACCTGCTTTTTTTAAAAATAACATTTGCTTTGTATATTTTTTTTCCATTCTTTCTCCTTAAGGTAGTGCATGTCCTCAAAAGTAAGATGAGTTTCTTGCAGACACCAAAAGGTGGGTTTTGTTTCTTGATCCACTCAACTAGTCTGTGTCTTTTGACTGGGGAGTTCAGTCCATTGATATTGAAAGATTTTAATGAAAGATGTGTGTTGATTCCTGTCATTTGATTTCTCTTCCCATTCTTGGTGTAACTGTGCATTTCCACAATTATACCTTCATTGAATTTCTTTCCACAACCCCTTGGGTATAGTCATTCCTTTCTTCAGCTCTTTGCATTGCTTCAAGAACTCTCTGAAGGGCTGGTTTTGTGGACACGAATTCTTTCAGCCTGTTTATGTCATGGAAGATTTTTCTTTCCCCTTCAACTATAATAGACATTTTGGTTGGGTATAGTGGTATAGTAATCTGGGTTGGCATCTGTGGTCATTTAGAAATGGTGATACTTTGGTCCAGGCTCTTCTGGCTTTCATAGTTTGCACTGAAAAGTCAGCTGTAGTCCTGATGGGTTTTCCTTCATTTGTGACTTGTTCATTTTCTTTTGCAGCTTTCAGTATTCTCTTTTTTCTATATGTTAAGTGTTTTTACTATGATGTGCCATGGAGAATTTCTTTTCTGGTCCTGTCATTTGGTGTTCTACTTGGTTGTCTATTTGGTTGCTTCTTGTATTTGTATGGACATGTCTTTCTTTAACTTTGGGAAATTTTCTTTGACAATCCTGTTGAAAATCTGGTCCTTACCATTATCCTGAGATTCTTTTCCTTCCTGTATGTCTATAATTCATAAGTTTGGTCTTTTTATGGTGTCACACAATTCCTACATATTCCATTCTCATGTTTTCTGAAATTTTTCATAATCTTTGCTTGAGTGGTCTAATTTGCCCACTTTATCTTCCAGCCTTGATATTCTGTTTTCCATTTCATTCATCCTATTGGTGAGGCTTTCTCCTGTCATTTCTAATTGGCTTATTGAGCATTTCACTTCCTTCTTCATTTCAGCCTCAGTATTCTTCAATATTTCTAACTCTTTTCTGAATTCATTCAGAAGTTTATTCCTATCTTCTTTCATTTCTTTGATATCTTTGGTTAAATGTTCTTTAAATTCATTGAAATCTTTCATCATGTTTATAATTGCTCTTTTGAACTCCATGTCATGTAGTATATCTAGGGGGTTCTTGTATTCCTCTATAGGACTGTTG